TTTTTAAATTTTCAACTACTAGTTTGATACATTTTTGTATAAATTTGAACTTATAGTTACCTACTTATAAAAATGTCTTACGTATTATGGGTCATTATTAATTCTTAACTGCTATTAAAAATCTCAGCTTTATCTTAATTTTTTATTTGTTTTTCCTGACGCTTTTGAAAACTACTTCGAATTTTTACTGCCCCCCCCCCCCCCCCAAAGTACCAATTAGATTCACTTTCCTAGCAGAGAAGATGCTGTTGAAGAAAATTAAATCATTTTTACTGTCTCAAAAAGTGATGACGGACACAAAAAAAAATTTTGAATACATTACACATCAATACAATCTGAGGTCCGCTCGGAAACTAAAAAAATAGAAAATTTAAATTGTTATTAATATGAAATCAAATTATCCTATTATAGATGATAATATAACATAGAAGATTCTAGTAAAAGTTTTTCCCTAATATTTTGTCATTATTCCTAGTTATTAAGAAAAGAGTTTTTAAATTTTAATTTAACCATTCAAAAGTACCAACTGGATCCAATTTGTAACCAGAAATCATCTCCAATGTAGAAGATCAGAGCATTTTTTCTACCAAAAAACTATTACAAAAAAAAAGGTGGGCAAGTGGGTGTCGCTCTGCTGTACAGTAGGTTATAAGTGGGTCACTGTATAATGGATGATATTAAATTTGAATTCAACGATATAATATCATTGTATAAGAAAAACGATTCTGAGCGGAGACGGTATGTCAGTCTATGTATAAGACATATTATATACATATCTATGGTATTAAACTAAAAATTGATCTATAATAAATTCCAAATTAATCATATCACAATATCCATTAGGTACTTATAACACGTTATACATCAATAACAAACCCTGATACTATCATAGATATATAATATAGTGTACTTTAGAAGTTTTAAGTACCCACAAATAGTATTATACATTCACAACAAAATAACTAAAATAGGTTCAAGTCATGCAAATTATTTAACTCTTGCTCCATCACATAACAGTTTGAGTAATTTTATTTTTAATATATTATTATAATATTCCATGTTTGAAATCAAAATAGCTAGATAATTATACGACTATAATATTATAATAATACAACCATCAAAATTATAATTCTATATACAAATTGTTATTATAAAGAAAGCAGATGAGAAAGCTTTGTCAAATATTAATTATTTTATCTATAAAGACATAATAGTATTCAATTTCTATATCAAATATTGTAATACAAATTCATGCTAAATGTCATTCAAAGAATAATTTTCAGTAAATTTCGGCTAACTGAAATTTTTTAAAAAATTATCTGTTTACAAATTTAACTTAATTTATATTTTTGTTTAATAAATCCATGACTTTTCAAGTATTTGGTGTACATAAATATTAATCAAAATAAATTCCCAAGTAGTCTTAAGGACATTTTTTTTTAATGAAATAACTGTATATAATATATACTAGGCAATAGGGGACTGAGTGGCCGAGAGAACTAAGGCGTCAGTTGCGACGCTCACCGTCACCGGTTCGAACTCAGCCACAGGTGTCATTTTTCTTCGGCAGTCACGGTGTCACCAGGGCATGGCAGATACCTACGGATGCACATTTGAAAGTTCTGCCCAAACAAACACACACGTGTTCGATTTAGAAAGAAAAATTTGAAAAAATAATCAACTCAAAATAATATGCTAATTTCGTGATTTTTCCGAATTTTGTTAAGATTTGAACTTTAAATGCTTATAATTAAAAACTTTGACTAAGAATTACTAACAATTTTTCAAATGTCAGTATAACAATATAGTAGGAGCCTTGTATTAAATTTTCAAGTTATTTTACACAACAAATAAAGTTTTATTGACATTCATTGAAAAAAAAACTAATATAGTCATTACTGGCTTATAGCTAGTCTTGTATGTCTGCAGGGTTATGGGTATATAAATATAACGTCAAAGCCAATTTCTGTTAGAGAATATAAGAGGTACCTAATCTTCACTATGTAAGAGAAGACTGTGATTTGAGGTCATTAGAGGAGACCTTTAAGACCAAAAAAAAAATGAAAAAGTTAGTGGGGATACCCTGGTGATGTCATATAAATATAATATAATATAATATCGTAAGCGTATATTCACAATACAAGCAATACTTATATATTATGATGACTAGTGGCCAACATCTATATTCCACGCACTAAGTACAGCACGTTTCACAGCCTCATGATATGATACGCGTGACTACTAAGGGAGTGCGTGTGAGTGTGTGACTGAAACAGGCCTACGCCCAAATCATGTCCTGATGTTCACGACGACATGACGATAACACCAAGCTCCAACAGTTGTCTCTATGTGCCTATATATATCTTAGTTGGCCGTGAGCAGTGAGGCGTTAACGTAATGCAACATCTCTTAAAATATACATTAGACTTAAAATGTATTATTTTACAAAATCGTAGAATAATAACACAAGACGTCAATGTCATGACTATTGTTGTCGAATTTCTGGAATTGGCAATAAAAATATCGAATTCGCAGGAAACGTAATCCGTACCTACCTTCTCGGCACTCGGTAAACGCAATGATATAAATATCAAGTAGATGACTTTAAACTGTATAAGGTTAGGTATGACATAAATATGACAAATAACAATTGTTCATTTTTCACGGCCCGTGGTCACACATTATTCTCACAAGTTCACAACTAGCTAGTATGTTTAGGTATATTATGATATTATGTTGTAGGCACATCACTGGGAATCTGCGCATAAATGATTATAGTGTTGTCAAGGAACATGGTAAAATGCAACAAGAAAAACAACACATTTTTTTGATATATTGGGCCTTTTAAAAACTACTGGGAATTTTAAATCTTGACCTCCCGAATGCACCAATCAGTTTCACTTTCCCATCAAACAAGATATTGAAGTTGAAAATCGATGTATTATTTTGACTACTTATCTTGTACACACACATTAGAAAAAAATTTAAAAATTCGAAAAATTAAAAAAAAATATCGCTCTGCTCAGAATAGACAATTATTTCTATCGTCTATGAAAGTTACTTCAAATACAAATGTGTGTAGCCGTATCACAGGAACCGAAACCTAAAATAAAACATCGACATTTCAGTGTTATGCTAAAGTTATGGGTGACCTTAGTTAAACTAACTTTGTGTAAACCAAAAAATAAGCCCTAGATACGCCACTGTAATATATAAGGTACCTATGGGTTACTGTTACACATTATACGGCGGCGGTCGCAAGTGGCGGACTGGACCGACGGAAAGCTGACAAATCGTGCTAGAACATTTATATCTATGATCATTTATTTCGTATTAGTAAAATAAAAAAAAACCGTTCAATGAGGATTTGTTAGTTTGAAAGTATAATACAAGATTGCTCATAAGTTTGTCAATCATTTTAAAGAAAAAAATGTCTACAAGAAAGTTAAATTGAATTCTTATGAGAGTTGGAAGTTTATATATTTACAACATTGGATATTCACTGGATTTCTCATGTATATTAGCAATTTTCTTATTTTATTGTATTTCAAAAACGAATAACTGTAGATACATAAAAATTTCACCGAATGTTTATATTTTCATTTTCTGTACGCTGTTAAGTGCTTACATAGAATTTTCAATTTTGAAAATATTTTGACTCTTTATGACGTTTAAAAACTTAAACTTAGTAAAAAGCTTGAAAATGTAATACAAGGTTCCATGCAAGTTCATATCATATCTTAAACAAAAACAAAAAAGTTTACTGGAAAGTAACATAAATTTTTTATTATCGTTTGAATTTAAAATTCTTATGATATTTTATTGTCATCGGTAAATTAACGAATTTTCATCCATCAACTTTTGGTATTTTGTTGTAATTCAAAAACGTATTTTCTTAAAAACTTGAAATTTTCACATTTTGACTCTTTTTATAAGCTATTTTAAGGCATAAAAAAATTTTAAATTATCTTTCAGTTAGAAAATCTTAAAAGTTGTTCATTTTATAGCTAACATGAGACATTTTAGTACAAGGTTCCCAACAAGTTTTTCTACTTATATCAAAAAGAAAAAGTTCACTGGAAAGTCACGCTATTTATAGCTATGAGATATTTTAAGTTTTTATAAAATGTTTTTCCCAATAAATTTGATTACTTATACCTACTACTATACTAGTATGACATGAAGTCTCCGCTCAGAACCGTTTTTCGTATACAATAATTTATCATTGGATTAAAATATTACAACTCCATTGTCTCCATTACAACAACATATTCGACAACGACTGTACAGCAGAGCGGTACTCACTTTTTAAAAATTATTTTAATTTTTCTTGATCTATGAATAATAATACTATTTTTCATGTGTTTATTTTGGCAACACTGTCTTCCATTCTTTGATCAACAAACGTGTTTGTGCGGGCGTGCGGCTGTCACATGTTATTCACGTTCATACTACAATAATTCCCCAGAACAATAAATTATTATACAATACTATTGTAACGATAGTACTATCTTTAATTTTGGCGGTTTTATTCAGCGCGCCTGTGCCATAGATAAAAGAATACCTGAGGCTGAGCCCGAGTTACGTACTGAATGCAATTTAATATTATAGTGTGATACTGTGGTGAAACTCTTCACTCAGCGATCCGTTACCTGTGTCACATCTTTACTCCAACTGCTGAACGTCCGTTGCCTATGATATTAACTACTTTACTGTGTTTGTAGTTTGTATAATATGAAAACTGCTTAACTCTTTACGAAATACGAATAGTTATAAATGTATTATAACGTATTATTGTATTATCTGACTTTTGTTTAATTCGTCATGATCAATGTTCATTCATGACAAAAAATTTAATATATTATAATAATTTTAAAGTAGAACGGTTAACTTACTATAATGTTATGAAAATTTCGTAATTCTTTTTGAGAAATTAACTTGACAATCTGTCACTTGATCATTTTGATTTCATTATAAAAAGAAAACAGCCATACCAAACGATGAATTCCGTAAGTAATTAAGTACCTACTTGTTTTTAATTATCTAGATGATTTTTTTTACTATAAAAATATACTATTAGAAAATTATGATATATAGGTAGTTAAATTATATTATTTTATAATTTTTCAGAAAAAAATACAAAAAAAATTAAATTTTGAAGAAGTATTTTGTATAGCATGCAGAAGCATTTATTTACAACCCGTGACAATGCCATGTGGCCATACACTCTGTCTAGAATGTTTTAAAAATATGGTGGATTTAACGGCATACCAGTGTCCCATGTGCCGTAGACGAATAAGTAATTGGCTTCGTAAATTCAAACATGATTGGGATGCCATGCTTAATGTGAAACTTTGGGAAGCTATAAAACAGCAGTACCCAGTAGAAGTACAGAAAAGGTTAAATGATGAAGATGATGGCCTCGAAGAACGTAATTATTATTAATATTAATATACACCTATTAAATACAAAATAATGTGACAATATACAACATTCATGTTAATTTTCTGTAAAATATCTTTACAAAATATTATACCCATATTTTACATCATAAGTATGTAACAATAAAATTGTGTAGTAAATTCAATTTGTTTTTAATTCCTTTAAACTTTGAAGTATGGACTCATAAGTAAGAAAGTTACATATTTATTTATGTTTAGGTATTGTCAACCATGGCTTTAGTCGAGTTGAAATTAAAGAAGGAGAAATAAAAAAAGAATTTGATGATATGCAAACGAGTATTTATAAAGAACAGGAAGAAAGAGAGTTGCAAAATTTGGAAATTGCTAAAAAATTACAAGTAGATTAAATAGATAATTTATTTCACTACTTTTAATCCTGGTCTTAAATACATTTTTATTACTATTAAAAGGAAGAAGAAGTTGTTAAGATTGAAACTCACACATCTTTAATTGAAGAATTAACACGGGAAGATTCTATAATAGCAACGTCCATTCAAGAAAATGTGAGGACTTACATTTTGTGATATTAACCTCATATTGTGTAAATACAAATTATTATTTTTTATAGATAATGAAAGAACTCCACCAAGAAGAAATAAATTTAATCCAATCAGATTTGGATTTGGCGACAAAATTACAAAATGAGGTGAGGAAATAGATTTAAAAAATAACATTATTTTTATGAAAAACAAATGATTTTATGTTCAAGATTTCCACTGAAACAAGCATTTGTACGAAAAATTCAGTTCCTGAAGTGAGTTAAATCTTAGATATATGATATAAAACATAAATATAATATTCATGGTATTTTTTATAATTTATTTTAGAAAAAACAAATCAAGAAAGGACCCCTGGATAAAATGTTTTGTAAGGTCTCAATTGGCTGTGTATTGTTGGTATAAATTATATAATATATATTAATGTATGTTTAGCTAAGTCGACCGAAAATAATTCTAAGGTACAATGGAATAATACACAAAATTGTAGTTTATCTAGCACTGTCTCTTCATCTAGTGCAAAATGTGAAATTCAATCTTCTAATACATCATTAAGTAAGACTATTTAAAAAATTGAAATTAAATTTTATAGTTAAATAAATTGTTCATAGGTTTTACTTCAGGTCCGTGTACAAGTTCAACAACTTTAGATTCATCTGAAATATTTGAAGATGAAAATGAGGCTACGTGTACTTGTGGACGTTTACAAGATAACTTCACCACAAATAGTCCTTGTACATTTTGCGTTGCTCAAATAGCAGTGTTGAATAAATTGTGGACTCAACAACAAAATGATTTTTTGGTGGCTAAAAATTTAGAGAGCAAGTTACGTATGGATAATTTTGATGATTATAACTTGAGGAAGAGACCAGGTTCAACTGTAAGCCTTGCTCAGAAAAAAAAAAGAAAGTTGTCTAAAGGACAATTGACATTGAAACAAGTATTAAAGGACAATGGCAACACAAAATTTCGGAAATAGTAGTATAAACTATTTTTGAAGAAATATATTTACTATTACATAATTTAAAAATTAAAATTAAAAGACAGTGAAGATTTAAATATTAATTTATAGTTTTGTAATAAACAAAAATTATATTAACATTTGGTTTTTTTTTTTACTCTGTTACCAAATTAAATAAAACATAACACTTGATAAATTTTAATATTAAATGAAAATCTGTGTAGCATACAATAATCATTTTTAATAATAATAGAAACAATATCCTATTTATTTTTGATAAAAAAAAATCTTATTTGTGATAAATTAATTTATACATTCATGCATTTACATAGACTTATCGTTCTTCTAGAGTTAATGTTTCTTGTGGATACAGATTAAGTTCTTTCATGGTTTGAGTCACACCTAGTGTTGTTAACTATAAAAACAATAAAATTCATTGTTTAACAATAATATTAAATATTAATATAACAAAATAATTTTTTTTACTCACATCTCTTCTAGGCCAACTAGATATTACTTTGAATTCTTCTTGACTAAATCCATTTATATATAAATAGTCAAACAACACCTAAAATATTAACATGATTACATTTTACTGTTGAATTCAGTATTATAGTAAACCAGCAAAGTTGTCCTTGACTTATTTAGGTTAGTTAGGTTCAAATTTTAAAATTAAAAACTAAGGTCAGGAAATGTATAGAAGTTCCCAAACCGTGGGTTGCGATTATATTTTTGGTGGGTTACATTAAGTTTGGAATATTTATATATTTTTGTAATATAAAATATATATTAGATTAACTCAGAATGTAGAAACATAAAAAAGGAAAGAAATATTAGAATTATAGTATACATAAATTCAAAGAAATATTTTCCCTGTAACTAAATCATATATTTATCATGTTCAAATATAGTTTTATCATTGATCATTATCCATGACAATTACAAGTGTACCAGTGAGAACCACGATACCATTAGACTAAAAGTTAACACAAAAATTATTGATAAATAAAGACCGGATTTATATTCTCTTAAAATACCTACCTAAAATATGATCCTAAAATTCTCATTATATTCTCTTAAAAATTTAAAAAATAATCAATAAACATCATTATTTGCTTATAGAAATTTTTTTTTCAACATTATTTTAATAGTGAGGTATTAAAAGTTGCATATTCTAATGGAATACTATTGCATTTTAGTAATAGTTGGAAATGTTCAAAAAAGAAAAAAAATGTAAATGTTAAAATGTTTATTCTGGGTACCGTAATATTAAAATTAAAAACAAATACAAATTTTTTTTCTCACAACTTACGAAATATTCCAAAATATGCTAAATGGGTTAATTATTCTCTAACCCATGAAATATTCTCAAATATGCAAAAAATACTTTTTGTACGCATTCAGAAATGAATGAATCGTCCACATTTTTTACTCTCATAAGACTGCATAGACCCAGTAACGATATGTAAAAACATATAAATCCGGTCTTTAGTGATAAATGATAATCAATGAAAATAATTCATTAGTAGGTTGCGGGTCGTCAACGTGTTCCAAAATGGGTGTATCATGAAAAGTTTGAGAACCTTTGGTAGATAGAATTAAGTGAATAATTGAACACACAGTGTGGATTCAAACCTACGACCATATATTTAACACTGACACAAATTCAAGTGAGTCATTAGGTACTTACAAAGAATGTTAGTGATTCCTAGTACACACTTACAATTTTAAATTTTTTTTTTAAAAACAAAATCTAAGCTCTACAGTTTAATCCCACTTTAGGGCTGATTTTTTAATTGATGTTGAAACTTTTTAATCTAGATGCACACGTTGTATAGCTGAGAATCAGTTTGTGAGGGAAATTATTTTAACAGAATAATAATAATAATTCAAACTATTGACGTTGCAAACAGTTTAATTACAACAAATTAAAAGAATTTAAATTCAAAATTGATCTTATTAGTCAATAACCTCATTTTACAGTCAGTTTAAAAATAAAAATTCTATATATTAACAACATAATGAATAGTTTACTTGAAGATTATCTGATGCCAAAAACCGCCGTTCTAAAAACTTTCCAAGAGGAAGCCTGAATCTGATTTTTGCAACTTGATCACCCGGTTCTGGTTCGGCCGGAAGAGATGCAACTATACGTTGACGAATAGCCTAGTCACAATCAATTTATATTTAAATATACATTTTCAAATCTTATGTTACTTTAATACCTCTTTTTCTGCGGCGACCTGTCTTTCTTGACTTTCAATTTGAGTTCGAATTGCTTTTTCTTCCATTTCTTGCACTCTTTTTGTTTCTTCTTTAGCTCTAAAATTAAATTGGTTTGTTTGTTGGATCAGGTTATATAACAACTGATATTTTAAGACTTATAAAGCAGAACTAAAAATCTACATGCCACAAATTAAACCCATGTATTAAAGCAATAAATATCCAAACTACAAATTACAATTACTATGAAAAACTGAGGTTGTTCAAATTTACCGATCAATAGCCAATGATTGTTGATAGGCTTCATCTTGTTCTACTTTAATCATTTCTCGCATATTACGTTCCCCTTCTTCTTTAATTTCAACTTGCTGTTGTATAGCAAACATTTCTTGGGCATTTATAAGGCTCGATAGTAGTTCACTTATATTGCAGTCTCCTATAAAATTGAAAATACATAGTAATTATATTACATATTTAGTAATTCACTTTGAAAGTTATAGAAAAAAAACTTAGATGATGAATTATTACCATTTATAACTGATAATATTTCCGTGTTTGACCGATTACGTGTAAATAACACTAAAGCTGGTAGTCTGTTTATGTCAATAGCTCTCAAAGTTATTTCGGCCATTGTACCCAGCGACAAAGAAGCTGATTGCAATATTCTAAAAAAAATATATAAAAATTGTATTTACATTATAATTTTGAATTTATAACTATTTACCTATTTCTGTTAGAAGGGTGTGTCATATCCCATCCCCATACTAAAAAATTTGTATTGAGATACTGAACGACTGATTCAAAACATAATAGTTGTGTACAAAATACATTTGACAATACACTGCGATCATGATGTAAGTAAACAGCTAATAAACGTTTCTAAAATAAATACATTCAAAATTATTGATATTAGATATCATGCTATTATTCAGTTAAGACAAGTTTCAATAAAAGGTATCATCATTTAAAGTTGAATGCATCAGTATTTTAAATGTTATGAAGAATAATACAAATATATATATATATATGTTAGTTTATGGTAATAAGGCTATAAGGGTATCATAATATAGTATAATACAATTGGTTGTATACCAAATTGCAAATCTATATCATATTATTATATTGTAATAATGATACCTACATCTTTAGCAGGTTTAAAACATGCAATTTTGATAGCTTGATCAAGTGTTCCCAAAAAAAACTGAGGTCTCATATCACCATAACGATTTTGAAATTCATCAATGAATTGAATGCAACCAGCAAGTTCATCTTCAGTATCTTCAGCAACTAAATAATTTATAAGTAAATTAACTACTGAAGATAAAATATTTATTTATTTAAGTGATGAGGAACCTCTTTTACATAATATATTAAAAGTAAATTATAAAGGTGATTAAGTACATGCGTAATCAAATATACCTAAATAACAATTAAAAAGAGAAAAAAGTTTTTGAACTAAAAAACTAGGGTCCACATTGGTTCATTGGCTAAATAGTTTGTGGTGGCATGAGGCACAAAAAGGAGCAGTGATCTAGTGAAGCGCTGAGGTACCTTAAAACATATTAGCGAAACAAAATCAGTGGATCAACTTTGCCGTTTAACAGTCCTTCAATAAATCTAGTACCAGCAGTTCGTCTTTGCTCAGCCAACGAAGAAATATTAAAATATATTATACTGTAGAAAACTTTGTGATACTTTTAATTTTCCTTTTTAATCAACATTATAACAATAATATAAAATGTTTATAGAATTTATGGTCCTTTTTATCAAACTTACTTAATGGTCGGATCCGAGTAGGCGCCTCTGTGTCCATGAACATAGTATCTACATCATCATCATCATCAATACCACTTAATGATTCTGCTGCATCTTCAAATGGATCTTCCTCAGAAGATGATGATGATGTGGACGAAGATGAAGTAGATGATGAAGGCATTGGAGAATCACTTGTTTCCATATCAACAACAGACTGCTTGAATAAAAATGTACAAGGATAAGTGTCAAAATTAATGATCAAAGTATTACATAAGTCATTCGATAACTTGGCATAGTGGCGGTGTGGTGTTATGCCCAACACTATAAAACAGCAGTATTGTTTAAATGTTTGGAAAAGTTATTTTAAGTCAAGTGTCAAAACATGTTTTCTTATATCAAAGAATACCAAAATCAATTACCAATTTTGGCAGTATGAAATTTTCATCAAACAATTCAAATAAATTAACCTAGCATTTTGTATAATAATTTATGTATAACAAAGTCAGTAGTCATTGTAACAGATTTTTTATTGTTAAGAGCATATTCAAGTTATTTATTTTGTCAGTTTTGTGTTGTATAGTTAATACAATAAATAAATATTCACCTTAAAATACTATTATTATAATGATACAATAAAAGGACATTCATAAACCAGTACCATAATTGATTATAGGTTACATAATAATCATAATAATACAAAAAAATACTTACATTTAATCTAGTGTTGTATCTTCTTCTGGTATGTTTAAGTATTGAATTTGAAGGCTTCAATTTAAAATCATGTACTGGGTAATTAATATGAGATTCTTCCAAAGTTGTAGCAGGAGTAACAAAATGTGGCCAACCTAACCATTGTTGATTACTAATAGGTAATTTAGTTAAGTTAGCAACAGCTTCTTTCACTTGTGCAACAGTCTGATTAGACGAGAATGACAATTTATAAACTTGGTATTCACTTGAAGTTGTAGCCTCCATTGTTATGTTTAGAGTGAACATTCGCAAGTTAGCTCTTTAAAACAGTAGTAAAAGAAATATTAAACTAACTAGATAATATAATGAAAATATGAAATCAAATAGGTATAAATATATTACCTTCCATTCAGCTCTTGATTTAAATCTTCATCACCTCTAATAAGATTTAGCTTAAATCTATCTGGAAGGTTCAGTTTGGAAAGTGTATCTTTATTGGAAGGGAGTTGATTATTTGGCCATCCATTAAAGTTTTGTAGACAACATGGTATGTTACATTCCGCATAGACCAATGTTTTTAAATCATCTAAAATAAAAATGATAATAATAAAGTAGGTTAAATTGTTTCATATATAATGTTTAAAACATTACATAATTACACTGAAAAATTGTAAGTTGCATACATTAAAGAACCTGATAAATAATAGTACACAGAAAAATTTAAAAAAACATGTTAATAAGGTATTATATTTTGTTATAGCAGGGAACTAATAAAAATATTAAACCTGTTTAAACTGTTTATCTACAATTTATAAAATAAAGTATTGTCTCGTTAGTTGTTTGCTTTGATACCTAATGAGTCGGGTTATGGAGGTTTGTAGTATGCATGAATGGAAGTCACTCAATTTAAAACATAGAATGCTAACAACGTTTAAATTACATATAGGTAGGATCATTTAAGATTTAGCAACAATTTTATAAGTACAACTTTTTTGAATTTTTTTGTTTTTGATAATAGTATAATATACATATCAAATATTTATGTACAGATTGATTTTATTACAATATAATATGGATTGATTTAAAAATTAAAATAAATTTGAAATTAGTAATTACCTATTGTTGAACCATCGTTGACTTTTAATGTGGCAATAATATGGCCATGTTGTTCAATCTCGATGGTAATTAAACGGCGAGTTTCATTTGACGTTGATGCAGTCATACCGCTGAAATCGTCTGCAATCATTACAGTTGGTGTGCTCAATTGAGTACTGCGTCCTTCAGAAGGCAAGTGTTGAGTGTGTTGTGGCGTGACATGTTGGACGGCGGCCTAAAAAATAACAGGTACAAAGAGTGGATTTGGCAAAGCCAATACAAATACCACGTTTCGGTGGAAAGCTCAAGTAATTACCAGCAAATCCCAATTGAAATTCGACAAGTGCATCAATGCTTCTCCTGTATTATCGATACCGGTGATGGCCTGTAGTAAAACAAGACAACAATGTTAGAAGGAGGTTGGTGAGTGTCTCTGTCCCCCACGTAAGGGAATATAGAACTATTATTATTACCTGAAAATCGGCTACAATGCCGTTTCTGTCGTCCATGTTTTAGCGAGATGTCAGAAGTGGCGTCGATAAAACGAAAAAACCACTAGCCGGATTAATCAGACATGACGGATATCTATGAGTCGGGTACCGCTAGCGACGGGGCCGAAAGTTCGTGACGAAAGTTAACTCGCGCGCACAAAATCGGCCACGGACGACGTAGCGATTAACGCCCGACGGACAGAACTGAGACGTTTATACTTTATACCTATCAATTCTGCGATAAACGGACCAAACGATATGTAACAATCAGACGTTCTGCGAGTTGAAGTTAACACTCTACGATGACCGCGGACCACTGCTGCGACTATAGTCTATATTATTATTATTATAGTTTTAAATTGTTACACTTCCAACGAATACGGTCGTAGTATCGGCATCCGACAGAGAGTAGAGACTAGAGGCTAGAGCTGCGGCGCACACACGACACACAACGGGAACGTCGGGAACAACGGCGTAGGCCAGCTGTTTAACGGTAGCGGTGCGGGACCTCCACCTCTAAACTCTAAAGCAGAACCATGACTTGTCACTATATTATAATAAAGATTATAAAGCGATTGTACTCTGTGTACTTTATGGTGGGATGGGTGGGTGTGTGGCGTGTACGTGCGTAGCGTTGATCCGTGGGTATTGTTATTTGTTATTTGTTATGCTATAATATTGTTATATATATATAATATTATAGTTTATAGTTTTATACTATTTATAGTGCATAGTAATGTACTATAATTTCCTACTCCGATAGTCGTGGTTAAAAGAGAAACCCGATTCCCGACAACAGCAGCTGTTGCAGGCTACTGCTGCTGGCACCATCTCTTATAGTACCAATGTACCATAATACAATGTTCAATGATAATACCATATAGCCAGTTTTCTATGATATAGCCACGATTAAAGATATATCTTTAATCGTGGATATAGCCTACTTAGGACAGGTAGTACATGGTAGTACGTATTTCTCATTCCATGTTGGTGAGTGGCGAGGTTGAAGGTAATTATAATACATAGTAGAGCCACTTCACCATCGAAATCACGATTGTTATTATTTATCGCCATGACGCCATCACTATCAATTATCAAATGCTTTTAACCAGCATAAGGTGGAAATACAAGTAATTTTTTGCGGCAAATTTAAATTATATTATTTATCATATAATTTTACACGGCCTTAGACTATAAGCTAATCTGATTGGTTCCACTCTCGGCCACCATTTTATTTCGATAGTTCATCAATCGTTATTTCGATAGTGAAGTGGCACTACCATGTATTATAATTACCTTGGCGGTAGGTGGTATCGTCATGTATCGTAATCATACTAGTGTCAAGTGTGGTATTCTGCTGTATCCATGACGTGCAAAGCAGGCTGTCGGATCTCAAGGTTTATAGATTATACAGGTTGCCTCATAGTCATGTAAACAAACTCGAACCCCCCGCACCATTCCCAGCCATGTGACGTCATCGTCGTACAAAATCGGCGGCCTGCCATATTCTATACGTATTCGCCATACAATTATTTACTCTTTTTCTTTCTGAAAATATATAGAAAGTTTATTTTTTCGAAATGTACATTTTAGAATATAACTAAAATTATTAATATTATAATATGATATAATATTATACGCTTTTTTATTTTTATACCTGATGAATTTTTTTCGAAACCTGTCATTAATATTATATGCACTTTTTTACAATAATAGTCGAGTAAAGAAGTTAGTCTAACTTATTTTTATTTTTATATTATCATTGTCAATAATATTTCATAATTTTTAGTTACCTATTTTATATATTTAATGATATTTTGTATAATATTATAAAGAATAAATTAATAAATAATTTCCAATATGATAATGAGTCTTATTTTAAAAGGAATTATATTCCTATAAATGTATTAAATGAATTAATAAACAAAATAAATTATAGAAAAATCTTTATATATTTTTAACAATAATAAAGAAAATAATCACTTGCGAGTTGTGGTAATACATTTAATATATAAAATATGTATATAATAATAAAAACATTATTTTTAGAATAATAATTCATATTTTTTACTAACCAAAATAAGAAAAATCAGTCTTGGTATGGTAGGTACATTTTAATAAATTAATATAACAATGCACAAAATACCCATATTACTATAAATTGATATTTTTTTACAGGCTATGATTATAAAAAATGCAGTCAAAGTATAATATATTTAAATTTGTATTACATAAAAATGCTAATTTCAAAATGCTAATAATAACACAAATTATTTTAAGGGAGGATGTTAAACATAAACATAATTATAATGAGTTAACATATTTTTCAAGAAATTAAATGATAAAAAAATTCAATCAAAATAAAGTATTTACATTTCAATTTGTTTGCTTAATAAATAATAATATGAATGTGTTAATGACTCTGTAATAAAAAAAAATTCAGTCGCAAGATGCCCTATGTCATCAGTCTTCTAAATTTCTGCAATTTTTGTAGTTGTGCTTTTGCTTTTTGTTTTTTTTTTAATAAAACTAATAAATTTTCTGATAAAACAGGTCCTTTGGAAACCTAAATATAAGACATATTTTTAAACCATAAAATTAGATGAACTATAGGTCTAGTATAGGGAAATTTAAAAAGTAGTATATTAATTTCATATTTCAAATATAAAGTAACTTAATTACATTTAAGTTTAAGCTTACATTTCAGAAAAGTACCTATAAGTAATTGTAATTTTATTACTTTTGAAGTATTTTGCTCAAGATTGGCTAGGTCTACACAAAAATTTATTTAAGGTATACATTGAAATTAATTATAATATATAATTTAGACAACTAATTGTACACCGTGTACACTAAAATAGTTAAATATTTATATATTTTGGTAATAGGGGTTTCTACTGAAGCTGTATTAAAATAAACACTAAACAGCCATTAAAAATTACCTCAAAACAAATGTATTATGAGCAAAAAAGTGAATAAACATTTAATTTAAGTAATAATATTATATATTCAACTATGATATTATAAACTTTAAATTTATAAATTTGGTAAATACCTATTGATTTCATAATACACTCAAAAAATGTATTAATTTCATTGTATTTGCCAAGTTTTTTTAAATTAATCAAAGTTGGTGAACTTTGATTGACTGTAATTATGTTATTATTGTTATAATAGCTAGATTGAATAAAGTAATAATATAAAAATCAAATGTATTTACCTGTGGAATGAAATATCAGTTCTCCCTTCATTTTTCGATTTTGCAGAATAATTAACGCAAGTAGATACCGCGCAAACAGAACCACCTTAAGGTTTATTTATTTCATTCGTAGCCATAATTATTCAAATTAAAACACTATTTATTTAAATAAATAAACGAAACGAAAGTACGAAACTACATAAAAACATAATATGAAACACTTGTCATTGTTTATAGTTTGTACGACGATGACGTCACAGCGCCATTTTCTCCCACTCCTGTTTTTTCGATATTTTCAAAATGAGGCAACCTGTATAATCTATAAACCTTGGTCGGATCTTACAAGTAGACTGTAGAGTACAAGACTCTTCAAAACTTCGTTATCAAAATATCAACTTGCACGGTATTTTTTTTTTTTGTAAACTGCTACCTCAGATTACTAAATAATAATAAAGACTATAGTCTATAATGAGTTAATGACACTATGACAGTAAACAGTTAGTGTTGTACACTTGTACTAATTACTAAACACTAAACAGTAAACACTACAGAATAATGTGTTATAACAATATTATTAAAACTATGTTGTGTAAAACCACCAGGTGAACCTCGATTTTCCTCATTATTATTTCTAAGTACATTTATTGCCAGCGTGGTCACTCGCTACGACGAACAATTATCTAATGTATATACTATATTATACTAATTATGAAAGTTAGTTATTTAGCATATTTTATAATATCCATAACTTTGAATTGTCATAACTTTTGAATGGTAAGTTCCCGGAAATTTTTTCAAACACTCGAATTCAGCATAAAAAACACTTATTTTGAAAAAAAGGGTGTCCGGTAAAGTAGATTTTCCTAGCTTTTACCAAATACTTGAGCAAACATAAAATAATAGTAACTTTTTTTTTGTTTCATAAATTAATTATGTCATGGTTTATTCAATTATACAATATAGTAAATAGTAATATTATATCAATATACAATATACATATTTGATATTTTTAGGTATACTGTCTAGTTAACTATAGGTCTATGATGGTCTATGGCTTCACTGCTGGAACCTTAGATCATTTAATAATATAGAATATAAATTATAATATTATATTATATCTATATGTCTTATGTCTATGCCTTAGATCCTGCTTAGATCATAAATCATAATATATTATTATTCATTATAGCATGATATAAACATGGTAATATGGTATGATCGGAAAAGTTCAGATTTTGTCCAAGTCCGCTCAGTACGTCACCCACCTACGGTATTATCATATTGTCAATTATTATTACTATACACTTCTCTACGTCATGTGCTTACCGAAGGATCTGACCATCAAAAAGTTACAATCATAGGCCTTGTTTTTATAATATCATGCATTAGTATAATCATGACCACGATCGTAGAACAATATCTTTAGTCGTAATCATGACGTTTAATATGCATAGATAAAAGTTTATAAATTGATCTAAGCCATTAGAAAGGATACCGCGAAAAAATAACCCCGGAAAAAAAACCCGGAAATATTTAGACCTCAAAAAAATAACCCCATCGAAAAAATAACCACGGAAAAACAACACCATATGAGATTTTGCAAATTAATAAGTGTAGGAGTAATAATTATTAATTATGTATAAATTATATATATTATAGTATTATGAATGTGTTTCAAAATTAATAAGTGAATTATTTACTTTTATCTTATCGGCGGTTTTATTATTAATAGGTACGGTAAAATTTATGAATTTTATTTTGTCAAAATTCGATAAATTTAAAAGAAATAAAAATATAATAAATAAATTTTTAATTTATT